TGAGGAGAAATGCTACATTATTTCTTTAGTTCCGCTTTTACAATCCTTTATCTCACCTTTCTTCTTCAGTTTGCTACTTCCTTTTCCTCTGGGTGTTTTCTTCGTAAAGAAGTTAGAGATGCACAGTCGTAAGAAACCTTTTTCATTAATTTTACCAAGAATACAGTACCACCCGGACAGCCAGTGTAGGTATCCCATATTAGTGATCTTGTGGTAACGGTAAGAAATGTATACGACTTAATGGACCGAAACAAATACTTTAATAATTCTCATTTTTTCCATCATCTTTTCTTATGTTTTTCCATCATCTTTCTTATATTTTTCTTTCAACCTTAATTACTAGATGCTCCCATACGACGGGAAAAGCTATACCAAAAGGTTATTTTAATTTAAATAGATAATTATAAATTTAAGATTATCAACACGGATGACACAAATGTGGACTTGCGCATGATCAAAATTGTCAAGAAATTGGGTGATACAGTGGAAGAGTCACGTTTGGTGGATGGTGCTCTCATCGATCAGAAATCAATGGGCCGTGGTGGACCAACACGTGTCGAGAAAGCCCAGATCGGGCTGATTCAGTTCCAGCTGAGTCCACCGAAAACTGATGTATGCTACTTATTTTTATTTGCCCTTCTGAACGTCACCAATAACGCCAAACAAACTGCATATGTTAACACATGAAAAATTTCAGGCCCCTGTTCTCTTCCAGTCTCCTTGCCAGGGATATTCATTGTTTGTATCTTTAAAACTTCTACAACACTTAGTGATAATCTGATTATCGCATGATCGTAGCATGAATGTAATATGAAGAACGTAGAAAAGAAGGCAAGAATGGAACGAACTATGTAGTGCAAGAGGTAGGGATATTGCTGGTGCAGGAGAAATAAGAACGAGAGAGTTAAGACGTCTCGGTCCATCAAGTCATATGCGTCTTAGCTCAACATCGCGACTGGACCTCGTCAGTATGACGGTCGCAGTGTTCAGAGATGAGAAGAAGAAGAGGGAATGGAACGGAGAAAGAGAGAAGGGGATAGTAACAGGCAGAATTTTTAAGGAATATAAATTTTGGGCATTTGAAAAGGATGAGAAGGTTGTAGGGTGGAAGTGGAGAAGTGATAAGCCTACGGATGAACTTGTCTCTCTTGTTTCTGAAGGTGGAAAGATTGAAAGGAAAACTTTGGCAGACGGATTAGTGGATTCGGAAAGGAAGGAAGGATTGAGGAAGATAGGAGCGATCTGAGGGCTGTGGCTTAGTATAGCTCTACGTAATTTTGATTTTGAGATTTTTTAGCAGTTGGTTTCAAATTTTAAGGTAAATTTTGAGATATATATCTCTGCTGCCTGATCTGCAGCCTCGAAGAAAAAGTCGTCCACAGCTTTAACATTTTAGCTGAGTTCGGGCAATCTCGAAAACCCATATGCGGGTCTAGGGCGGTATTCTGAGAGGGAGGGCTCCTGCATCAAACGGGGTTTTCTACAGTAAAACAGTTACTACCTGAGTCCCTGGGGGGGAGGGAGGGCGTCACTGCGATTTTTCACTCCTAGCCGCTAAGGACCCCCTCCCCTCCGTCCTGATTTAGAAATAGTAAAATTCGTAAAGATGTTGTGATGCTTAACAAATATCATGGATAGGTGGAAACGGCTAAAGCCCTGTCTGGTTCGATGAAAATTGTCTGGTTTTGATCAAAATTTTCAGATGGAGAATCAAGTGATTTTGACCGATTACACTCAGATGGACAGAGCTTTAAAAGAGGAACGAAACTACTTGCTTGATCTGTGCAAGCAAATTAAAAAAGCTGGATGTAATGTTTTGCTCATACAAAAAAGCATTCTCAGGTATATTCCCAGTTTTTTTTGTTGAAGCAAATTTCGATTATAATTGAGTGAAAAATAAACAGTTTCTGCCGATAGAAGCAATTGGCAGGGCTGTTTAGTCGTTCCAAAATATGTGTAGAGCACCATCACTTCATTCTAATCGTCAGCATTGGTATGAAATATCTAAGGAAATTCAGGTTTTTTCTTTTTTTTTCCAAGTTTTTTCTTTTTTTGCTATATTTGCTGCTGTACTTCAGAGATGCGGTAAATGAGACCTCGTTGCATTTTCTTGCTAAAATGAAAATTATGGTGGTGAAGGATATTGAACGAGAAGACATCGAATTCTATTCTCGAATCCTCGGTTGTCGCCCAGTAGCATCGATCGATCATTTTGTGCCCGAAGCACTCGGCTCGGCCGATCTTGTTGAGGAAATTTCTGTTGGAGGTGGCGAAAAAATCATACAGGTGAGATGTTTCCATGAGCCCGAAAATGGACCAGTTCATAGTGATGAGATGGTGCCAGGGCCTGAGTTTCACAGCCATTTTGTGGACGATGAAGATTATCGATATTTTGAGATATGTTATGGATTGGTTCTACAAATTCATGAGATTTACGTGAATTTGGCGCTATTTTTTAGGTTTCCCAATTTTTGCCCGTGAAAAAAAGTACTGTCTTTATTCTCAGAAGCTAAAAAAAAAAACAAATCTGTTTTTACGGAACTGTTTTCAGGTTACTGGAGTTCAAAATCCGGGCCAGGCGGTCTCGATTCTCATTCGTGGCTCGAACAAACTGGTGCTGGAAGAAGCTGAAAGATCGATTCACGACGCACTCTGTGTCATCCGATGTCTGGTGAAAAAGCGAGCACTTGTGTCAGGTATGTTACTTGAAAAAAATTTTCGAAAAACCCCCTTTTCAGGGTTTTTTGATAAAGGAAATCCTAATATGCCTAATAGTTCCAATAGTTCTATCATTCACTGGATGCCAATCCGTCACCGTAGATAATTTTCTGTGATTTGCTAGGAAATTGGGACTCATTTCCTTTTGTTTATTTGTGATTTAGTGAGGGAATTAAGTATTTTGTTTAAAAAAAAGCGAAAAAAAACGAGAACTTTTAAGTTGTTGTTGGAAAAATTATTCATAGATTCCTCTTGCTTCTTTTTTTTAACTTTCGTAAAGATTTTTAGCTAGGATGAAAAACGGTTAAGGAAAATTGCAAGGATGTCACGGATTTCCATGATGATTTTTTGTGGTTTTTTTTTTTTTCAGGTGGTGGTGCTCCAGAAATGGAAGTAGCAGTACAGCTGCGTCAGTTAGCTC